TCACCCGGCCTCCCCAGTGTTCACAGACGCCTGTGGACCGGGGGGCCGCCCCGGATCCGCTGGCGCAAGCCGCTGGACGCTTGCCCGTCCAATCGTACCCGGTCCTTGACCAGCTGCTCGCCTTTGGTAAGTTTTCCCCACATTATGATGCCCACCGCCGTTCACAGAGGATCCGGGCTAGGGGGTTGTGCAGCCTATATTCGCCACTATTCTACGGCCGATGTCTATATCTCACGCTCCATAGTTTTGGCGATCCTCATAAACGCTCCGGGAGATTAGCGTAGCAACTGTTTGTAAATGCCCGCGTAGTCTTGCTCCCCGCACAACTTTCGCGGGTATTGCAGCTTCGCTGCCAAACAGTTAGCATCCGGCGCTATGCCAATTTTGCGTTTGCCTGGACGGAGGCCTATCACTAGAGTGTATAGACCAAGCTCGCAATTGCCCCCGACCGGGCGAGGGCGCGTCCGGCGGGTTTTTACCTGTATCGAAAGGTTGTCCAAGCCGTGTGCATGCCTGTGCCGCTTCTCGCTCAGTTGCTTTACAACAGGCATGCACGGGGAATGACCGGCCGGGCTTTCGACAAATTAAGGCAAAAACTTTTTCTGAGTCAGTGGGCTGTGTGCAACCGATCGTTGGACTCCCGGGGGGGTGGCCACCGGATGCGCGCCACAGCAGTGGCTCGAACAGCAGCGCAAACGATTAAATACCATTTAGGCAAGTAGCGTCGCGCTGAGGTTTTGGAGAACTTTCCACTCCACTATTCAACAAATGCGTATAATTCAGAGTGGTTTTATTTAGTGCGAGGTGTCCATCAAGATGGATGGCCGCTGCCCCATCAGACCTCCCCACTCACTAGAAGCGCACTTTTACGACGGGCCGGGGGTGGTGGTGGGCTAGCAGCGGCGACTCTCTCCAGTTAGAGCCTCTGCGCGTCGCAATACGACGCGCAAGCGCCATAGTACCTCCCTATGGGGGTATCCGCGACGGCGTTGGATCACTGCGCCTTCTGGAAATCGCGACCTGTGTGTAGCGTAGCTGTGTTCATTTGTGACTTCGCTTCCAGCAAATAAGGCCCCTCGGGGCCACAGGTAATTGTACCCAACCGTCGAGTCTAATACAAGCGTAGGGGGCAAACGCATATTTTTGGCGGCGTAGGGCTCCTTGAAGCGCGCGCTACGCGCGCCAACGTAAAAACGCCCCTATGGGTGCCCTGCAGGACGCTTGCGCGACCGGGTTCACCAGTAGGCGCCGCCGGATCTAGAGGGGGAGACCCTATCAGCAAATCGGTAAGTGCCCGAGTTTCTTGTTTTAGGGGCGTCTGAGAGGTGAAACTCTATAGGAGCTATGGAAGAGTCTAATTTCGCCGCCACACGACCGCCCCGGCGGGATCGGTGGCCGAACGCCCGTGACATACCATCGAGCACGAAAGTACGGACACCAGTTGCTGCCTGAGGACCGGGTAAGGAGCTGACCTGGGAGGTAAATTACCAGGTTATTGCGCTGACCTCTTTGCCTTTGCCGCTTCGACACATTACGCATAAAGCGATAGTATTTATACTATTGCCCCCCTATGGGTTCGTACTATTGAGCCCTAGACTTCAATTCCGGCGCCTACTCAGTTGACATCATCTTGATCAAACATCGGACAGCGGGGGCTCCCGCTGAGGAGGCCCTGAATAAACGTGTGTAAAAGTACTCGCTACGAGGGCTAGGCGAGCCCGTCTAGGTAGCACAAGTGTATCATCGGAACTGTCGCGAAGCTGGCCCCACTGTACTGCTCGCAAACGCTGCAAAAGAGGGCTCCCTGGCGCTAGCGCAGCTGCGCTGCCTGTGCACCCTGCCCCCCCCCCTTTTTTTGCGAGCTTTGCCGAATGCAGTAGATGTGATAAAATTAATTGAGTGAGAAGTGGCCCACGATATTGCCCAGATTTCTGCGACCCCGGGAATGGCCGCATTCTGCGGCCAGTGGATGTTCCGGTAATCCGGCTACAGAACGGATAAGCGTGCAAGCCGTATGATGGGTAACTGTCACGTACGGTTATGTGAGAGGATCCCTTAAGGCTTAGAGGGGCCTACTCAACCCACTACGCAATCATAATGATTATCGGACTCACTGTTTGTTTGACTATTGTATTTTTTTTACCCGTGCGGCCTGTTTGCAAGGTTTGCAAGTATAATCCACGACCTGGACGCCAACCTTTCTTTTGCGCTACGCGCAAAAACTGAACTGTCATGAGGGTGAAATACCCCCCCCCCGAGGAGCGGGGTGCAAGCGTTGCCTACATACAAGGGCCGGCGTCGAGGCAGAATCGTGATGGCGCGTTGGCAGCGCAGCTGCGCTGGTTCCATTTGCCGAGCACCGGTACAGCCGACAAAACACGATCCACTACTCTAGGGGGCCTCGGGTGTTTTGGGCTCGCACCCAAACCATACCCGAGCAATATTTGATGCCCCTTGTCACCCGGCCCTGTTGAAGCTAGGCAAAAAGTCTCGCTGTATTATAATAATAGTAGCGCTTCGAGCAAGGGCGTGTCTTGGCACCCGATAGGGTGAACCGTCCTCCAGTAGTCTTTAACATCTAAAAATGTTATAAATCCTTGGGGACGCTGATGGCTAACTGCTCAGTAAATCTTAGGTCGGGAAAATGCCCTGCACATTCTCGTTAAAGTGGGCGTGAGCAGCGTGTTGCGGGGGTCGTTGACGCGTTTGTTTGGGCGAAAGGGCAGGGTCGCAGAAATTGCAATGCGCTTCATATATCCCAAGTATCCTTATAGCGGGCTGCGCACAAATGCGCCCTCCGACGCTTGCGCGTCCGGGGGGCTTTGGGAAAGCGCAACTGCCTGCCCCCAGAGAACGGGCGACGCTGCTTGGCGAGCTTCGACCGTCGGACATGTCTGTCCGCTTGTCTCTGCGGTCGGCCACGGGACGGGGGGCTCATTTTTTTCGGATCATATCTAGGGGCCCCCGAGGGTCGCGATCTGTAGGGGGCCCGGCCAGTGTACAACTATTGGCTCGCCGACCGCGAGCCCAAGTTGCCCACGAACGGTGCCTTTGCAGTGCCTATTGTCACTGGGGGATAAGGAGCGGGTTCGACAATACTCCGCGATGTACGACCAGGTGCACTCTTGTGCGCCCGAAATTGGCCGAGTCCCGGATGTCGGTAAAAATCACGAGCACGGCTTAGGCACCTTCGTCAAAATGACTACAAATTGGTCGGGGGGGGGGGTATGGGGGGAATCACAGGGGCAAGCGCCCTTATTCCCAAGTATAATAAAAGCTATTAAAAGCAATCTCCGCTGGCCTTGCTCTGCGATCCCCTGCGACCGCAGGCGGTCCCCAATCACTAGCGATTACGCGCTGTTAAAAAGAGTTCACGGGTCAAAAAGGGCACTTGCGATCGGCTATAACTACAAGGGGTAAGTGTATTCTGCTCCTTTTCCAGTTATCGGCGTATAGCGGGAGCCGTCCGGTCTAAACAAAATGGCAATTCGGAACTGTAAAACCTCAAGCGTTAATCTTTGGCGTAGCAATTTTATACCGAGACTGAACGGTAAAAATATTTGCTATTGTTCGGGCCGGCGCCGAGGCCTGCCCGGCGTCGCCGGGCATCAACAACCTGGGCTTGTGGCCGCCCGCACAAGCAATCAGGTACGGCAGCTTCGCTGACAATTGTGGCCAACCTGTCCCCCGCGGGGACCTATTTGCCCCCGGCTCCGCCGAGAAACCGCGGCCGGATACGCCGTATGTCGCGAATCAAAGATAAATTGGGTGTAGGAGGGGGTAATCCGCAAAAGCTTGCCGGTAATAGGCAGGATATGCATACGTCTCCCTCGTGATATTTTGCGCATCTTTAATCGATATTGCTGCCCGGCGACGCCGGGCAGGGCTTTTACGGACCGACGGCTCCCCGGTCGGTGCTCGATACGCTCGCACCTAAACCAAAAGTCCCCCGTTGGGGGACTTAGGATGGGGTATGGCGAACGACGCTAGCAGAGAGCCTCTACCGGTCGCGCAATCGCCCTCGTAGGGGCCTACACGACCTTTTATGGTAGCGTGAGCTGACTCGCTTTCCACTGCGAAAGCTTATGATATCTTAAGGCCTTCGGGTATAGGTATAACCATTTACGTGGCTTTGCCACGGAACGAGCGTGTTTTTTGGCACCGCCCGCGGCAAAACCCGAGGGTTGGCGGTGCATATAGTAACGAGTTTGTTACACCAACTGCTTGGCTGTGCGCCAACCAGCCGTAAAAAAAACTGGACGGGGGGGGGATCACAAGCGCCATCGCCGGCGACCGCGGGGGACGTAAAAATATTCGCGGGGAGCCGTATGAAGCGAAAGTTTCACGTACGGTTCTGTATTAGCGGTGAAGCGGCCTCGGCAGAGACGGGCCCCCTCGCTACGCTCGGGGGCGCCATCGCGCTGGTTCGCCTACTATGACATGTTCCACACACTTATAGATACTCGTGTTTTGTTTGTACAGTTTGTGGGTTTCCTCTTTATAACTATTGCTAGTTAAAAATTATCCGCCTGCCCGCCCCTATCGGCGGGAGAGGCCCAATGATTGCTTCGCTGCCGGGGCCACGCTCGCGCCCTTCGGGGTGGACAGATCCAACCGCTTCGCTGTCTTGGCGTTCTTGCGCTGGTAATTGTATGCCCCAGGGGCGTGTAGGGCTTAGTCAGTTTGTTTAGGCAAGCGGCTTATTAAATTTACAGCGATTTTTTTACGCGCAGCGCAAAACAAAAAAAGGCAGCAGTGCGCTGCGCGCACCAGACGACCAGATTATAGTAGGCCCCCCAAGGAGGCGCTGGCCCAAGCGACCGTGAAAGGGTGAAAGTTAGGGTACCCGCTTGGGCCAGCGAAGCAAGCGACCGGTGGGCTGGGGGGCCAAACCAAACGGTGAGGCGCCGTTCGTAAATCTAAGTCACTGCCCGTCTATGCCGGGTCGCTGTGCAAGAGGCACTAGGTGGGGCGGACAGCGTGAGGTTATATGATATGAGCAGGGTGTAACACAGCTTGGTAGTGTGTTTGCTTTGGGAGCAAACGGTCGCAGGTTCAAATCCTGCCACCCTGACCGCTATAAAAAAGTGCACTTACCGGGGGGGGCCCCGGATACATGCTCGGGGGGCGCACACTCTCTCTCCCGGCTTTTTTCCTATAGCCCCCTGCGGGGGCAATTTCCAAAAGCCTTCTCCCAAGTAAGCTAAAAGCCCCCGACCGGGGCCAAATAACACGCTTCGCACACCCGCTGGGAAAAAAACCCGCGAGTGTATTTGACGCCGTGCCTGTTTTGTGCCTCACTACGTTCGGGGCCGGCAGAGACGAAGGACACGCCGCTGGCACCCTCGATTAGGTTGCCGCGGCGAGTAAAACGTAGTTCGCGAGTGTATGTGTTCCGGCGAGCATTTGATAACAACGTTAGGCAGTACCGGCGGGCCGACCATAGTGGGGCACGTAAAATGTGGATATTGCCCCCCCGACTACACAAGATCGCGCAGTAAACCTTTTAGCCTTCGGCGAAACTTCGCTGTGTAATTCTGGTAGTTGAGTCCAAACAGACCGGGGGGGGTCCGAACACAGCGAAGCGTACGGCAAGCCGCATTTCCAGACCACGCTCGCGGTCGGCGAGCGGGAAGGAGAAGCGTAAAAACTAGGTCGTCCCGGAGACGAAGCCGGTAGCTAAAAATACGACATTGCGGGGCCCCCCGGTGTGCACAGATTCGTTTACCGACCCGCGGCCGCTGCGCTGGGGGCCCAAGTTGGTACGATTGCCACCGAAGAGCGCAAGGCGACCTGGGCTTCCTTGGCCCCCCAGTTGGCCACGCCGGGGCAAGTCTCACCAAACAATCTTGGTGGCACGGCCCCCTCCCGACTGTGTCGGGAGCGGGCCAGGTTATAGGTATATAAAAAAGCTAATTTATTATGCGTGGTACCCCGAATGCGGTCAACTTGTCGGGTCGCAGAAATTCGGAGACCCGGTCGCGCCGCGCAGTCGGGGGGCGCTGTGGCTACGCAAAATTGTGCTTATTCCAGAGTGTCTTCCGCATACGGCGCAAGGCGTCCAGGGCGGGGCCGCGAGCCTCGCGTTCTACATTAAATTGCTAGGGCGGCTGTGCAGACAAGCTGCACAAAACCGGATCCTCTGGCACATGCCCCCCCGGCAAACACCTTCAGCGCGAGCTCTCTTTAATTCCCGAGTTTGGCGCAGCCTATAACTATAAACGCTGATTTCCGGGTGAGGCAAAAGTTCGCCACACACCGGCAGAGCCTCGGTTATAATAATATGTTCGCGAATCACAAGCAGTGTGGGGTATACGACGCGCGACCCGCGGCGCCAAAGTTTCCCAGCAGATACTTAAGGAAAATTAACAACTTTTGCGCCCGCCTGGCGCCTTGCTCAAGTCTGGGGTGACAGTATCACACAAACACAGGAAACAAAAAGATGTGGTCTAACTACAGTGGATTTATTTATGTAAAGAATACGCGCAATAATACTATAGCAACTCTCACAGACATTGATGGTTTTACGAAGTATTGGATGTCCGCAGGACGTGTTGGGTTTAGAGGTTCTCGTAAATCGACAAAATATGCTGCAGAATTAGTCGCAGAAAAATGTGCCGGAAAAGCTATAGAATTTGGAATTTATTCAGTATGTGTGAATCTAAAAGGTATTGGGTACGGGAAACAAACTATCATAAAATCCATATATAGAGCTGGCATAAATATTAAAAGAATAGAAGATAATACACCAGTACCCTTTAATGGGTGTCGCTTAGCTAAAAAACCTCGATTATAAACACACGTCGATACGCCCTCGTGTCGGGTGGGGGGGGAATAACAGAAATGTGGTGTAGTAATGCCTGCCCCCAGAAAGGCAATTGTCGGTATTTAAGCGCCATATTCTAGCGTGTACTGTTTATCGGGAAGCTAGAGGCGTATCGACGTGTAACACTGGGCTAGCTACAATGGCAGCGAAGCTGCAATTGCCCGCCGGTCCACAGGCCTGTGGACCGGCGGGGCCATGAGACCCTCCCCGTCTCTGCCGGGTCGTTGTACCACTTCTGGTGGCAAGCGCCGACCGCATCTGCTTCGCGGGGCCCCCCCGGCAGCGATACTGTTTTGGGGCAACTGGGAATATACACTACACGCGCGCCCCAAATTGTACGGCCCGGCAGAGACGAGTTTCGAAGGATTCCTTATTCCCGAGCAGCGGCGACCAAATCCCGTTAACACGCTCGATAAAAAGGAGCCCACAGGTTTAGCGAGCTGCCCCAGAGTCGCCTGTGCAGGGGCAGGTGGAAAAATTACACGGCGACTTGTCACTATTAGAGGCACTCGAGAACTGGTACATAATTGGCAGCGAAGCTGCAAATGGCCGACGGATCGGGTCGGACACAATTTGGCGTAGCGGATGGAAAAATACGGGGCGTTTCCCGTGGGCAGCGACCCTGGTGCCTGCCTGGCCCCTCTTGTGCCCCTGCACAGGCGACGACCTGGCCAGACAAATCGCGCCCAAAGGGCGCCAAACAAGTTGTCGTGAGCGGTCAATTTAATGATACCAAACAATAACGAGTTATCGCGTCTACACGGCTCTAATCACCCCGGAAGGGCGTATCTTGTGATAATGAAGGCACAGTATTATTTTAAATCACGCTTCGCCCCCCCCCCCCCCCGGACGTCCACGAACGGGACGTAATCTCGTTTGCTCGTTTGAATTATGTGTGCTCGCGACTGATCAGGGAGTGCTAGGGTTATCCGGTGGGCTGTTGCGATTCCCCGAGCCCCTGAGATAGTGCCGCCCGGATGCGCCGGGCGGTGTTTGTAACAATGCAGACCGCGAGGGCAAATCAGTGCGTACTGAATTCGCGAAAGCCAAGCACCTGATTCGAGGAGGTCAAAGATTATACTCGCTGTTTTTCGGACTAAAAAGTAAAGTGTTGCTGAAGACCTCCAAAAAAAGCGCGGGCATGGCGAAACTGGTAGACGCGCGGGATTTAGGTTCCCGTATATAACCATATGCAGGTTCAAGTCCTGCTGCCCGCACACTTGCGGTGCGTTATGTGAGGTTGAATACTACTGGGCATTTACGGGCTTGTGCATCGCGGTGGCGGCGCCGTCTGCCCCGGTGAGGGGCATTCGGGCGGCAGGCTTGTTTAGGTAGCTCAGTCGGTTAGAGCAAAAGACTGAAAATCTTTGTGTCGGGGGTTCGAGTCCCCCCCTAAACAACATTATGCCTGACCCGCGGCTTAGTGCTTCGCAACAAGTTGTTCGACGCGGCCGGCTGCTAAAGTGACTTTGCCTGCATTCTGGGGGCAGGCCAGATACGAGTCGGCGCTGGCAAGCTCGCGCCTTTCTGGGGGCAGGCGTGTAATGTTCGTATACTCGAAAATAATGACATACCTGTGGCCCCGAAAGCCCCAGGACCGATTGCGTCTGTGTTAATTAAGGCAGGCCGGGGGGGCGCCGCTTCCCGCCCTGGGTTGTGGTTTCGTAAATTGTGCACATACTCGGGAATAAGCTCGGCGATTTGAGGCGCGACGGCAGCGCTATATACTATATATTCACGTAGCGCGGCCGAGCTTATTCACAAGTATGTGCTTTTTTTTAAGCGCAATAAGCGGCTCTCGCTTTTGACCCAGATCGCGTCAGTTATACGTGGCGAAGCGAACCCCCCGGCAGAGCCGAGTTTAGAGTAGTATGCGCCACCATTAAGCATACCAGGTCCCACGGTTCGTGCCGCTTTTTTACGACCGTAAACTAGGGCCCCCTGCCGCGCCTTTCGCAACCCCGGCCGTCTTGCGCCGTGAGCCCCGGCTCGATCTGGCGCCCAACAGGGTCGCAGAAATGCGGGGTCGGGGCGGCGGATCGTATTGTTATCCCCCCCACCGGGCGGTCGGTCCGCAATTTATCACTGCAACGGCCCCCCCCTCTGGGGGGTGCGCCGCCGGCGCGAGCCGCGGGTCCCGCGGCGAGGCCCCGTCGGGGGGAATAAAGTTTCGGGCGGGGGGCTCAGGCAGCACTAATGTGTGAACTAACGCGCTCAGCGCAAAACAGCCTAGTACACAGTAATAAAATAAAAAAATGCCTGTGGGCCGGTGGGGCGCGTGAACATCAACATGTCACGGGAACAGCCCCGGTAGCCCACGCCAAACAAACACCGGCCGAGTGCCAGTCATGTAATTCCCGGCTCTGCCGGGAATTGCAAAAGCCCCCGACCGGGGCCAATGTTTGTGCGTACTGTGAAAGCAGCTGTCTATGCCGACCGATCCGTAGGACAGTCAGTGCCTCACACGCGAGTACACCCCAAAACCTTTATCTAGGCCTATCGCAAACGGGCCCCCGGTCAGGATGGGTCGAAACTCAAAGTTCCGCAGCTCGTTTGCTACTAGTAAAGGCAAGGTTACTAGCGTATCGGAGCCCGGCCTTCGAAGTTACACTAAAAATATGGCAAACAAACTTGTACGAAAATTCAAAAGCTGTCTTAACTCAAACCTAAAAAATAGTTATGAAAATATTTGGCCATCAAAAAAATGCTCGAACAAACTACAATATAAGTTTAAACAAAATATTTGTGTATTCTCACGAACCTTTGATAATTCTTCGGATAACCGGGGCGTCGCCGGTCGAAAGGATGATCCTTTTCGGCAGATTAAAATTCAATTTCATTTGGTTTGCCTAAAACATTATGCCGCGACACTCTTTTCGAATAATTCGTGTATAGGACATGCGGTTATTGGATGTAAACGACCACCCCACGAGTGGGGTGTAGCATCACAGGACACCTATTTTACCCCCTTCGGGGGTATGCCAAAATGTCCGCATAATGTGCACGCCGGGCCTCGTGTCGAACCGGCGAAGCCGGTTCGACACGAGCCATGGCGCTGCGCGCAATTGCGCTTCGCGCCATGCTTCTTCCCAAGCGAGCAACCAAAACAAGGCGCGCATTCTAGTCGCCCTCGCCAAATTTTACACGGCTCCGCCCACCAACCGTGGGAATTATGCCGAGCCTCGCCGACCGCTCGTAAGTCGCCTGCGAACACTGCTTTTGGTATTTTTAGGTTTTGCTTGCCTCGTGTATGCACAGGTGGACCGTTTGATAGAGTGGCCACAGGTGCGAGCCGAATAGGGCAGCGCCGTGGTAAATACCCGTGAGGCCGGGGGGGCCCCGCGTTATTTGTTTGTTCCCCCCCCCCCCTTCACTGCGTTATAACTGATCTTGTAGGTTGCCTAAATATGTCACAGCACCGCAACAGGGGGGGCCTTCTGGGGGCAGGCAAGTGAGCATTTTCTCGAGCTTTTACTAACCCGATCTTTGGTGCCCCCGGCAAACAACACGCGCGCAGCTCCAAAATGGATAGTATAGCGAAGGGCAGGCGCCCCTCTTTTTTTGACACGAGCGGCGCGAGCTTGCCAGCGCCAGCATTGGTCCCCCCCGGGTTTCTGGGGGCAGGCAATTGCCCCGGTCGGGGGCTTTTGCCATTGGTGCGCGTAGCGCAGAATTCCCGGCAGAGCCGGGAATTGGTCCGAAGGACGGCGGGGTCGTACCGGTGCGCATTCGTAGAGTCGCAAGTTTTTCGGCTACGCTGCTCGCAAATCTTGCTGCGCCATAAGCTGGCGATGTGTTGAGCACGATCGTTAATCCACAATTTTCAAAACTCGAGACGTAATGGCTTTTACCGCCGGTCGGGGGGACCTAATGTACCGGTACTTGGCGCGAATGCGCACAGTTCGACCCCTGATACGCCGGAACAGGCGGACAATGCTCCAATACACGATCCACATAACCACCTACTGCCCATATACGTGCTTCGAAGAACACTCTACCGAACTGTAAATCAAAAATCGGCGACACAATTGAAAGGCCTTTATCGATTTCAATTACAAGAAACACGTAAATTTGCATTAGTTTATGGTAACTTATCAAAAAAATTTCTGCAACAAGTTGCCAAAAAAACGTTGTTTTCTAAAAGCGTCGAAGCTTTTTTAGACTTATTGGAAAAACGACTTGACGTAGTTGTTTTTAGAGCTGGTTTTTGTTTCAGCATATTTCAATCCCGACATTTAATAAATCATAAATTCATTTGTGTAAATGGCAATTTGTTAACGATTCCCAGTTACCCATGTCGCCCTGGGGATATAATATCCTGTAAACCTTTCCCACTCGAGTGTGGGTGTCCAATTTTCCCGACCGGGGGCACTAGACGTCGCCGGTTTGTAAAAAATAATCATGAAAATTTTTATAGGCGAATTATCGAATACCGGGGGGCCTATAGTTTTACTGATCGCAGACTTAGAAACACACTTCCGCTTGCGGGGCGGGGGGGGGATCGGCAGGTATATTCAGACCAAAAACACCTGTGGCCCCGAAGGACAATTGACCCAGAGAATCACACGAGCCGGGAAAAACGTGAAATGGACTTAACACGCCCCAAATTGTACTCACCGTCAACCGGCAACATCTCCAAACGACCCCGACCCACTTGCGGGAGGAACCTACTGTTGCCCCTGGCGAATAAAAACGCTAGTGGCCGGGGGGGGCCCGGTCTGTACCAACAAGCTTGGCGCCGTCGTCTGCTTAACCTCGGGGGTGGTCGGCCACGGGTATCATTAACTCGGGCTCGTTTTAAAGTCGTGCCCTATTTCCACAGATCGTGGGAGGTAAACACGTTCGCAAAACCAAAGGCGATGGGACATCGTGATAAGCAATATGTGAATAGCTCACGTCAACCGTGGCCAATAGTGGCAAACCGCCTACGCTTAGGAGTGATAAAACCTTTGCAATTAGAAATAAATTATAGATGTTTAACTGCCGTGTACCTTTATCCAACACAAAGAATAATTTGGCCCACATTTTTGGATCTTGATTTAGTCATTCGAGAACTTACCCGATAATTGCGACAGTCTACCTGCACCTTAGTGCAGGATCCTCCGACTCAAGGGAACAGCTCGCCGAATGCGAGTGTCCCTAATCAGTCTCCAGTGTACTGCGCAAATCGCACAAGGGTGTTTAGCTCAATCGGTAGAGCATCTCGCTTACAACGAGATTGTTGAGGGTTCAAGTCCTTCATCACCCATTGGCGCTGCGCGAAATTGTCTGCGCAGCAGATAATTGTATCACCACCGGCTGCGCACTCATCACTGCAGCCGCGCTTTGCGCGGCCCAAGGTCAATCGCTGCACAGCCGGATCCTCCCCGGCTTCACCGCGTGGTTTGTCCCCTCTGCGACCCGCAGGGTCCCAGAAATGCAGCGAGGCCGGGGGGGGGGGCCGGCAATCGCTCTGCGATCCTGCTCGCCAGAGGCCAGCAGCGGTGGATACGCCAACTTAGCGATAACCAAACCTCGGCCGGGACGGCAATAGTACTCGCGGTAATCGAACAGGCCGACCGTCACACTCGCCCTGAAAGGGCGTGACGGAACGTATAGCCTGTTCGCTCACGACCATCCGTCTATTGCCGCTGAGACACCAGTTGCCAGTACACTAGTGGGGCCAACAAAAAAAGTGGGTCGTCGGCCCAGGTTAGTATGTGTGTTTCCGACTGAGAATAATAAGGCCCGCCCCGCGCCCCCGCTTGCCCAGACGACCGTCGGGAAAATTGGGCCAGCAATTCCCCCCTCGCCCCGCGCTTAGCTGTTCGGGGGCCCAATAATAATGGCGTCGCGTATTATGTGGCGGGCTCCCGGCCGAACGGTCGGCCCCTGTACAATTAGAAGATAATGACCCTCGCCTACTCGTTTAGCCTGCCTACTATGTTATGTATATCAATCGGCATGGGCCCTATCAAACACCGAAGCTAGTAAGCCGGTCGGGAAAAAATTTACAAGGGGGTCGAAGGATAACGAGTTGCTAGACCATTTTGTTCGGCGCGAGCTTGCATCACACGAGGGCGTCGCGATATCACATAATTTTCGAGTGTGATACACGCGCCATTGCGGCAAAACAAAAAAAGAGTTGCCCCGCTGGGCCAATAAAATCGACCTACACGCGAGCAATGTCTCGTGGTCATTTCTTAAAATTAGTTTAGTAATGTCAGTGTTTTGAGTTTCGACATTCTCGGGCAATTGCTCCCGACCGGGGGGCTTCCAATAATTTCAAGTGTGATTCCCCCCCCCCCGGCCTGTACATATTGAGTAGTCTGCTTCGGCCAGGGCACCGAAAAGTGCACGACATGAGGACACGCTCGTCGGAACGCCGGGATATTGGTGTGTAACGTGCCCCCGGAGTACGGACGAGCCAATTTGAATTGCCTCTAATAACGACAGAACAGATATAGTGAGCCTTGAAATTACTCAAGCCGGGGGGGCCCCTAGAAAGTAAAGATGGCGGGGACGGCGGCACCTAACCATTTTTGCGACCCACGTTCTTACCGCATAGTCCACAAGGCAAACAAGCTTTTACAATGCCGGTGAATCCGGTCAATCTTTTCTTATTAAAAATGCCATGATCAACAGATGGGAGCGTCCTGTTCAGGGAGGCTAGTATAGCTCACCTTTGCTCGCGTGTAGGTCGAGAACTGGGTTGTTATGAGGGTGAAATACCCTCCCCCTAGGAGCGGGGTGAAAGCGTTACCCGCATGTTGTTTGCAGCTATCCCTTTTGCCAGCTTCGGTGGCAAACGCTCGTTTTGCCGTGGCTAAGCCACGGCAAAGCAAGAGGGAAGGCCAAAGCGCCTGCAACATATGTGAAGCTGGGTAATAAAGGGTCACGTCGAGTTTGGTCCGAAGGACGAAAGACTCGTTCGGAGGGCCGTAGCGTCGCGACCCCCACAGCCGTCGAGCGATCGGTAGGGGGGGTAGGCGCCAAGAAACTTAAGCACGGGCGTGATGGACCACGGATACCCTGGTGCTTGCGGGCTCCCCCCCCGGCCAGTGTGGTCGTCATAATGCTCTTGAATATGAGTGTTACTGAAGGCTAAGTAATAATTGAACCGGCCGTAATGGCTTAGCGACCTATAGTCGCGCTGGAGCGAGGACCCGTCGTAATGATCCGATTGTTCGCTACGCGAACCCGATTTATATGCCTATAAACGTCTGAACACCAGTGTATTGGGCTCCCGTCTTTGCCGGGGCTCATACAAAGGATGCTCCATAAACTGCGCAGTGCTACATGTGCTGGGGGCATTACACTGACCCCAGGTGATTTTAAGGGGTATTAAGGCAGATCGGCCATCTACGTATCTTGCTTCAAAAGTTTCCCCCGGCGGATAGCAGGGGCCTTCCGGCACAACAATGACAATTTGGAACAGGCAAATCTCTAGTGTCTCTTCGACCGGTTGCACGCCCACTTTTAGCCTCACGGCGTTCGAAAAAATACACGCATACAACGTCCAACTTGTCGGGTCGCAGAAATACTGGGAGCACTCTCGCCAGTAGCCAGAGGTCAAGCGCCCTTCGGAGGGCCTTCGGGGCCAGCGAACGGTGGGGGCCGGCAGAGACGGGGCCACGGCGCCATCGGCGGCGCCGCTAGGGCCTAGGCGTAAGGGCGTGCAATACCCTGGCGCCAAAATTCACCACCCGAAGCAGGTAGACACCCGTAAGACACTTGAGTGTAGGAGAAGGCAATAAGCAATAGCTAAGCCGTAATGGATATGAGATGCCCACGTGCCTCCGCAGCCGCACGAGCGGTGCTTTTAGATTGCCCGTTGGCAGCGCAGCTGCGCCCAGTGCCTATCGCACACGTGCGCTCGCCTGGACACACTAGAGCGACCTATCGTTATTTATACTGGCCCGCTAGGGTGGCCAGGCCAAGGCGTGGGCCTACACGACCACTACGGGAATATGCGTATATACGGTTCTCGAACGCAAAATACCCGGCAGCGACCCGTGGCGAGTAGGCTCGTTGCTGTATGCCTCCCCGTACCGTGGCTGCCGCTTGGTTGGGGGATCGCGAGGAGCCGTATGAGGTGAAAATCTCATGTACGATTCTGAACTAGCGGTGCAGTGGGAGACCCCTAGCCGACTATAACTTATTCTCCACAAACCATAAAGATATCGGAACTTTATATCTGATTTTTGCCGCATTGTCCGGTGTTCTCGGAACTTTTTTTTCCCTGTTAATTCGCATGGAATTGGCCCAACCAGGAGATGGCCTACTTTCAGGGAATTACCAATTATACAACGGTGCGCTCGGAAATCAAACACTGGATGTCGGGTGTTGTCCCGACCCGACCACATCCTCTCGGGCCAGCGATTCACTAGGGTGTGTGTCATGCCCGCAGGATACCCAAGGAAACTTGAGGCGCCCTACGCAGCGGGCTAAAGTCAGAGCACTGGGGAATCGCCACTGGCGGTAGACCGCAGCTAGACCTAGACAAGGCGTGGGGTAAGGCTAGGCCAACAAACTCGGTACGCTATACTCGCCACTAAAAAGGCCACGCGCGACGATCAAGCGGCACGGGTCGCCTAAATGTGGCTGCCGACCAAAGATCGGCGGTTAAAAGGCGCGGAAGTTTTCTCGACCGTCGGAGGGGTTAAGTCCCCCCATCTCTGCAGGAGCTCGCCGATCGCCTGTTCCACGAAACGCTACAGATCGCTGCCCTCGGGGGCCCAACATCGCACCAGAATAGTCATCCGAGGGCTTATAATGTGCGTGCTACTTTTTGCTTCCCTAGGGAATAAGCATACTCGTACTCGTAATATAATGTAGTTAACCGTAAGTTCAAGTGGTTTTTATAACGAGTGTTTTCCTCGGGCTCCCGTAGCGAACAGTTATGCTCGCTCACTAACCGCGGCGCTCGTGGTTCCCCTAAAAAATACTTACCTCCCCCCAGACCGCGAGGCACTATTGCCCCGGGGGCAGGCAAATAACAGGGTCGCAGAAATCTGGGCAGGGCGCCCAGCGGCATCCACAGTCACAGGGGGGGCGGATACTGCTGCAGCTGCCCACGACTTGGGCAGGGTCGCGGCCACCTTTAATCTTCATAGCGCGTGCGCGAATAGTCCGCGAAGGCCCCCGCTGGACAAAAAACCGGCTCATTGCGTTGTATGAGCCGGGGATCCGAGATAAAAATTCGCGGAGTTCCCCCGTTGGGGGATTTCTCACGACACAAGCTCCTTTAGAGTTTAGAGAATTGCGCGAGGCCCTAACCCCTAGGGAACCAGCGCCGCTGGATATTCCGGAGTAATGAAAGCCGAGGAAGTAACCCCATAAACAAGGCTACACACAAGATCCAAACGGATTTTTTTGAGGCCCAGGGGAACTCGGAGGCGCCGTACTAATCATAAATACCGTGCACCGCCCAACGGCGATCAAGGGTTCCGGACACGACAACAGTTATTGTAAATAGGGGGCCTGCGAGCTTGCAAGGCTCCCGCAGCGCTCGCACAAAGACGGGGGTTGCAGGCCGGCACTCTGTAGATACTCGGAAATACAGTGCCCGCCCGTATTACGGTGCGTCCCGCGACATTTGCCCCATTGGGCCGGGGGGGTATCACCATTGTGCGGGTCGCGGGGGGGCCTGGCCTGCGTTCTGGGGGGAGGCCAGAACCGCGCAGCGTTTCTGGGGGCAGGCAATTGTCCCCTCCCTGCCTGCCTGCCTGTGGGCCGGCCGGCCGGCCGGCCGGCCGGCCGGTGGGGACCAGGCAATTATCTTTGGGTCGCGCAAGCGCCAACACCCCTGTGCCCCGGACGCGCAGCAAGCGGCCCCCCCCCCCCCCGGCCTGGGAATTTTTCCGACCGGTTGTCGAGCCGTATGACGGGAAACTTTCATGTACGGTTCTGAGGGCAGAAGCGGTGATTTCCGCCCTGACCCCTACTAATAATTACTGCTCATGCTTTCTTGATGATTTTTTTTAGTTCGACGAGCTATCTACCGGCATATATGACAACCTGCCACAGACTCATTATCACGAGCCTATTGGCGTCTCCTGATGCGCACCCGGGGTGTGGCAGATCCTGTCTTATTCCCCCGTACCGCTTCTGGAGTCCTAGGGGCACCGCCTTCGGGGCTTGTGTAATTCACTGGGCAATTGCCCCCGACCGGGGCCAATTTTGCCCAGGGGGCCAATGACTCCTTATCACCCCCCGCTTCTGCCTACCAACGGGGCGGAATGGGCGGTTGCTGTTGGGCGACGCCGG